AAACAAAGGAATCCAACTACAGGTACAACTTATAGATTATCTGACAGTTTTTTTAAGCCAATAATTTCTGTTTATCTCATAAATATACATATGTATTTGCAGGTGAAGAACTAATGAAGACAGTCAGTGATATGAACTTCTACGTATATCGGTGGATAATTCGTACTAATGAAGACAACATTCTCCGACGCAGACAACTATTTCATTAGTACATTGTGGATATGTATGTAAAAATTGAAACTGAGAGATTACGATATATAAAATTAAATCAAGCAAAACTTCGTACTGAGGAGTGCTTTATTTTGCGCGATGCCATAATCGGTAAAGTAGATGCAACAAATGACATCAACATCATTGGTACAGCATATATTCTCCCATCATCATACATTGGTAGTCCGCGTCATATACAAAAATACATTCAAGACATTATGACTTTTGTACGTGTATACAGCCGACCAGATCTTTTTATTATATTGACGTGTAATCTAAACTGGGATGAAACTAAAAATTTATTGTTTTCAGGTCAAGCATCGATGCATCACCAGAAAATCCGTGTTTCCCTCACCATCAATTATATGTTGCATGTTCCAGAATTGGAAAACCATCGAATTTGTTTGTGTACACGCCTCAAGGATTAACCAAAAATATTGTACATCCAATGCCATTGGAGTCATGTATAAAAGTTCAAGCAAGTGCGGATAGTTCTCTGATCGCCATTCACTGGGGACTGGCCAGAAACGATTCTTTTAAACTGACTCAAGCAGCACACGACTTCCGGTTTCTGACCAAGTATCCTCTGGGTAGCCCAAAAACATCCGTTTGAAGGCGAGGTAAAGCGAGAAGGCGATATATCCCCTACATAGGATTGTGCGCTGAGTTTGGGACCCGCCACGTAAAAAAATACCCCCAATGAATAGTAATCAAAACAAATGGGTCTGGCAGTAAACGAGAAATAACGTAAAGACGAAATATCTCCTGTCATCAAACAAATAGTCGTCGCACTCGCGACTTGGCTCACACCTCACTGTTAACAGTCATAACTTTGAAGTCGTAGATAATTTCGTCTATCCTGGAACCAGCGGAAACACCACCAACAATGTCAGCCTGGAAATCCAACGAAGGATAACTCTTGCCAAGAGGTGCTACTTCGGACTGAGTAGGCAATTGAGAAGCAAAGTCCTCTCTCGACGAACAAAAACCAAACTCTATAAGTCACTCATAACTCCCGTCCTGCTATATGGTGCACAGGCTTAGACGATGACAACAACTGATGAGTCGATGTTGCGAGTTTTCAAGAGAAAAGTTCTGCGAAAGATTTATGGTCCTTTGCGCGTTGTTCATGGCGAATATCGCATTCGATGGAACAATGAGCTGTATGAGATATATGACGACATTGACATAGTTCAGCGAATTAAAAGACAGCGGCATGTTGTCCGGATGGACGAAAACACTCCAGCTCTGAAAGTATTCGACGCGGTACCCGCCAGGGAAAGCAGAGGAAAAGGAAGACCTCCACTCCATTGCAAATACCAAGTGGAGAAGGACCTGGCTTCGTTTGAAATCTCTAATTGGCGCCATGTAACGAAAAGAAGAAGTGGTTGGTGCGCTGTTGTTAGCTCGGCTATACTCACGTAAGCGGTGTCTACGCCAGTAAAGAAGAAGAGATGTATATTAAACCACTTGCTACTGTGATCCCCTGTGGCAAATTACAGTCCTATGTCTTAATTGATTGCTTAGTATTTATATAACCCTATACTCAGCTCACATAGTTTTAGGTGATATAAACAACCGGTCTGTAGCAACGTTTTGCTTTTCGGCTGTACAGATGCTATAATACTCTTCACGGGTGCATTTCTTGAAGCAATTACAATACATAGGAATTGATCTGAAAACGTAACCGGCCAGCCGTTAGCATCCAACTGTGTCAAAAGCTTCGATTAGTTTCGTAGGGAGAAAAAGACGTAAGCAAAATCAAAACTTAAAAAACTAGCTCCCGTATATACAGCCGCATAGCATCGACTCAGCTCGTTACGCTTATAATTTATACATATAACGGGTGATCGAAGTAGAGGTACTTCTTTCAATAGCCTTTTTTAGACAGATCACTCGTAATTCGTGTCAAGCCGTTATATTATTTTTGTTCAGTTGTTTCGTATTTCATCATGAAAAGACTTACACCTGCACAACGTTTCCGAATCGGTAAACTTTATTACGAAAATTCACATTCAGTAGAGAATGTGTTTCGCGCCCTTCGCTCAACTTATGGTCAACAGAATCAACCTATTGAGCGTAGTATTCGCTCTATGGGCTCTTCAAAAGTTTCAAGAAGATCTGCCGATTTCGAACCAAACTTGGTTCAGTGATGAGGCCCATTTCTGGCTCAATTGTTATGTAAACAAGCAAAATTGCCGCATTTGGGAGAAAAAACAACCTGATATACTTCAAGAGCTGCCATTACATCTGGAAACAACAAAGGTTTGGCGTGGATTGTGGGCCGATGGATCATCGGTCAATATTTCTTCAAAAATGATGCCGGTGAGTACATAACCGTTAATGGCGAACGCTTTCGCGCCATGATAAAATACTATTTAATATCTAAAATTTTTATATATATATTAAATCTTATATATGTAAAGTCTTAAGAGTCTTAAAGAGATACTCTTAAAAAATCATTGCCAAAGAATGTTCTTTCGAATGATAATAAACATTCCGCGTTAAATTTGATGTTTCTTTGTTGTTTCTTTAATAAAGTAGGTATGTTCGAAATGGATCACTTTTTTACTTTATGAGGGTATTAAAAACTTTTACGTAAACTTATCCCGCTATTATGCATCTATAATTGCGCAATGTCAACTAAATATTCCTTTTACTATTACTATTTTATCGTCACGTGTACATCGCTTGAAAATTGTCCAAGAATACTAAGAAAACTCATGTTCTCCAGTGGCTTTTTATTAAAAACTCATCTTCTATATGTAGCTTAAGGGCTTCGTCAACACACGAAATTGTTGCTATTGGTGTAAGTCACATGGTTCAGGGATCACAATTGCATCTCCAAAAATTTACCGTTTGATTCGGATCCTGATATGGCGGCATAATTGGGATTTATTTTTTTATGGAAATGACGCAAAGCTCGAAGACAATATTCAGAGCATTATATTAGCAATTACAGCCGGAAGGCTGGAGATATCGAAACGGAGCCGTGATGGTCATTTAGCAGACATTTTGTAATATTCATAAATTCTGCACAACTAAAGGTACTTTATTTCGTAATTGTTGGTAGACCCTGTAGTAAACTTAATTATATTAGGTAGAAGTATCAAAATCAAAGAACTGAATAATATAAAATTATAATAGCACTGGTAAGCAAAAATCCACTGTTTTTTTGTGACAGGAATTCAACAAAGTATTTATTATGTAAAAATTTTCACAAATGCAGAAAGTAGCTTCAGATTTCTTCTATCACCTATAGTTTTTTTGCTATGAGAATTTTTGTTTAAAAAAACAGCGATAGATATATTATTGTTATTATTACTTTTTTAACCGAAGAGTACCTTAAAATGTTACTGTCGATGTTTTTCGGCGATATTTCGTTTTTGGAATATCCCTTAACAATGTTCGGCAGTAATCGCCATGCAAACTGGCACTCCACTTGCCTTGGTACCATTTCTCCATAGCAGAAATGTTTTGGTGGAAAAGTTTCCCATGCTCGTCACTTACGGCAGTAAGTAGTTTAGTCTCAAAATCTTTGTAATTGCCAACTTTCGCATTTCCAAGTTCTCGGACCTACAAATATGCCCTTCTTAATTTTTGCTTCACTGACTATTGGAAATTTTTGTTTCAGATACATTAGCCCTTTTCCATGTCTGTCCATTGCTGAACAAAATTATTCATTAAACCCAATTCAATGCAAAGGTGGTAGTAATACCTTTTTGGGATCAACTAGAGTTTCACTAACGTTTTTTTATCCCGGAGTGCGAGCTTGACGTACTGCTCTAAAAGAACTCTCATATTCTCATATGATTCCTTCATATGAACCGCATGAGCTAAGGGCAAAGATGGGTATATGTTACAGTAATGAACCAATACCAACTTTAAGGCAAGTTTAACGGAATCAATGAATAGACGTCAACCACGTGGAACATGTTTTTCTCCCAGTGGGTTAAACAAAAGATTAACTTTTGAACAGTATACTAGATCCCCTTCTTGAAAAAAGTAATTTGTGAGATATTTCTACCATTTTCTATAAAAGATCCAACCTTTTAGCCTGGATGCAAAAAGTTCGGACTGCGATCTTGAAAGACTTAGATCTCGAACTAAGTCATTAAGTTCACCCTGTGGTCTGTTGTCATTTCCTTTCCTGTTTCTGTAACATCACTTTAATAGCTAGTCGATGCTAGTTCTTCATTGAGACTGCAAGATTCTGGTGCTTTTGGAATAGGAAGTTTTTCACTGTGTTTGACAGGTCTTAAAGCTGATGGCAAATTACAGTACTTAACAGTATGTTTAGACTTCGGTCTGATACATTTAACATTCGTGAGGCAAAAATAGCAGTCTGTAACATGGTAGTTAGGTTTCAGGAACCCATATTTGGTGATTTCACGACGAAGGTACAAATTATTGCAACTCTACTAAACATCTCTATTTTCAATACTAATGTACTTACACTAGCCTTCCTCTGCCAAATTTGGTGAAGCCTCATTAATACATAAATTAGTAGCGCCTTGGTGAGAAAGGGACGTGTACTAAATTTCGGAGGGATACCTCAAAACTTGAGTGACCAAACAAAAAAAAAAAGCAATACATTCGGTTTTTATAAAAAGCAAAAAAGCCAAATTGGAAGTGAACTAGTTTTCTAAAAATATGAGCATAGGTGTTAAAATGTATGTTTGGCAGTACTTTTCTTTCGAATTGAATTGGTAACAATAGCGTAAAATAAAATTCATATTATGCATAATAGTATATTTATTAAAGCGCTTTTAGCAATAAGTAAAACTTACTTTATGACCACCGTAGAAGGCTATTTCTTCAGAATTCGTTATAATACGAGAATGTATATGACGTAAATAGCCATAACGATTAGCCTCTTCGGCTACAAGTTGGCCAAATTTCGGCGAAACAACTCTGATTATATGCGCCGTTAATGATATCACTACAATAGCCAGTGTTGGGCCTATTAAGGAAAAAATATTTAAACATTTACAAAGAAGTATTAATAATAAGTAGTTTGGTACCTGAAACAATGTTGGCTTTCATTTTTTGTGTGGATCGCATCAAAGCGAACCCAATAAGCATCAGGTCAAAGCATGGCTTCGTAACACTACTATACAGATGTGCTACTGAGGTAGAAAATATTGCTATGTCCTCTGTTAATCTAATAACGTACAAATTTGAATAAACATAACTATAATTAAGTGCTTACTTTAATTGTATACCTATGATCAGCGTTTTCTATTCGTCCATCCAAATTAGAAACCCGATAATAGTTTTGGTTCTTGAAATATAAACGGTATGAGTGTCGCACCAATCTAGTCCTAAAACGTAAGATGCGAAAACGTTATGAACATAAAAATATAGAATTATTAAGAACATGAAAAATATTCATTAAAATTTTTAAGTACAGCTGCGAATATGAAAATAGCAGTATCTATAGCAGTTTTGTATAAATCCGTATAGAGCATATTTAGCAACTTATAAAATAAAAGTATTTACTTTAAAATGATCTGATAAATCAGAATTATAATTAAATTTGATAGTTTTGAAAATAACGGCAAATTTCAGCTGCAATCACGTCTTTCATAAACCATTTAATAGTAGAGTTTGAGAAGTCAGACATTACTTTCCCTTCTAACGGAAAAATACCAATATAACAAATAAAGTAAGATATTTTTTATTTGTTCTATTACCAGGTTTACATTCAAAACAAATTTTGTTATGTTGGGCGAGTATAAGGCGAAAATATAAAGATAAGGAGAAATATAAAAATAAAAATTATGTTGATTCATACAAATTGTATATTTACACTATTATGACAAGAAATCAATGTCAACTGGTATTGGGAGTTAAAGTTAAAAGGACGTCACACATGTGCGTTCGATCGGTATGTGTGCGATTACGATTTACTCTAGTATGGGCTTGTGTGCAAGTTAAGGAATGTATTTCTTATAAAACTTGTAGTAATGAACATCAAAACAACCTTTTGTTTCAGTAAACAGAATGCTTCAAGACAACACTGAGTTGGAATAATTGAAATGCACTATTACTACAACCAACAATCCTAAACAAACAAACATCAAAACAGTCTTATGTTTCAGTAAACGAACAACATTAAAGAAAAATCATTAAAACAACCTTATCTTGGAACAATAGAAGTACACTGTCACAACAACAAACAATAACAACCCAAATAGTTATTTAATAGTAAACAACCAGCATCTCAATAGTATAAGTAGCACTAAGATTTATGTAAACAAACCTGAACAAACAATATAGGGTATTAGATCTAAAAAAAAAACTATCAACTAGTAATAAGTATCATTCTAGTTAGTGTAAATAGAATGAAGAACCAATAGGTTAGTCTTAAGAGTATAAATAAAGAGTACACATTTCGGTGCACCTTAAATATATTCTTGGCTAATTTTTACTTAATGCAAAAATTAACTCGCATAAATCTCATTTTTCTCGTGTCCCCGAATAGGAAAGATCACGGGCGAACAATTTTTCACTTGCTTGTCGCACATATTCACTACTTGAAGAACGAATGCACATGTGTGTCGTAAATGACCACTATGTTGATACACATATAGACATAAGATATGCAGATGCAGTTGTTGTCTTAACTAGGAAAATGCATTAAAGACAAAGCGACTAAGATCCTAAACAAAAATTAATATAAGAATTGTAAAACATTACATTTCATTATAACTTACACTAAGCAGTCGGGTCATAATTACCATCCAGAATGGATAGTACAACTGAAGCATTAAGCACTAATATATAAGACTCCTCATTTAATGTAGCTACCTCACGATTAAATAAAAATATAATGTTATTATGTATGGTGAAAGAAAATAAAACAATCTGTTTTTTTATATTTTCTCTTTACCGAATTTTCATTGGAGTGGCTGGCACAGTACCAATCATCAAAGAAATTTTTTTTATAATGGATTAAATAAGTAAATCTTACACCGATATTCAAAAGTCTTTCTATTTTATATGTTGGTAAATATGCTATATGCGAATTTATCAAAGCGGCCATAGGTACTGCTTCATATTCGCAGCTGTAAATCCGACAAATACTACTCGACTTTTTCAATAATTAGCAAAGGACAGATAACATTATTTCTGCTATGCAACGCATACAATTTGCGATCCTTGTTTTTTATTTCCTATAAATAATAATGTCTTCATCGATTAGACAGAACACTTTACTTATTACAAAAGTTTAAAAGATGAAAAGAATCGTCGTTTTGTATACGCAGAACATAATTTGGGTTATGGGTTATGGTTATTATAACCAATGTTTTGCACGTAAAAAATTAAGGAAAATAATGACAGTACATTGTCTTGGCAAAATGCACATAGCGAAATCTGCCTACAGAACCACATAATCGTCATAAGTCATCCAATATCGATAAGTACATGTTAACTAAAACTGCTGTATATGCTACTCGTACTATCGCAAAAGGTAATTTTGGAGATGGAGTTCAGTTCGGTAAGACCATACCATAAGCTGGGGCTAAGCGAGTCCCTGTGAGTTAGGAGAGGGCACAATAGACCTAAGGTCGCAGTGCATTCCTCAATTATTTATCTATCTATCTATCTAAGACTAAGATAAGTAGTCATTGTTTAGGATGCCTTGCTCGAATTTTAACAGACTCTGCCGACTTAATTCCGATACTTCCTACAGTGTATCATGCCGTGGGGACCGCAGATACTTATAGCTCAGTCTTGTCAAAGCGGGACAAGTGCACAAGAGATGCTCCATTGCTCCCTGGTGGCCTGCTCTTAACACTTTCTGCAGTCTTCTTTTTCAATCAGCTCCATCCTGTGAACGTGTGTTGCCAGCAGACAGTAATCCCAATCATGTTCCAGTCTCTTCTATCAAGTGGCAATAAGAATTTTGAGTACTTCCTATCTACTGTTTCGCATTAGTCTTTTGAACTTTGCATCCAGGTAACTCGTTTTATCCAATAAGTAATAAAAACGAATACTAAAAATTTGTAGAAATTTAAAACTAGTCAAGTTTAGATTATAGTTGCACCCCATTGGTCGTTTTCCTGTTTAAGCATGTTTGATAATAGAAATGTAACGAAACATTAGTTAGTGAATTTGAATATCAGAGTTGAAGTGTGTGTGGTAGGTTAGAGGTGTTACGCCCGTCCCGTTCCCACGACAGTCCAGTCTAAGTAACCGGAATGGTCAGTAATGTTGTTGTTGTAACGGAGTATCAATTCCCGTTGGGATGGTAAGGGATTTCTATGTTGCCGTCGACGACATCTAGCGGAAGGCCCAAGAAACCTGCTGTTTCGACGAGGTCGGACCAAAGGGAAAGGGGTGTTAGATGAGTGGGGATGGCAGGGCATGTAAAAAGGTGAAGACTAATTGCATGCAGGACATACGTTGGGTATGTCTGGGTCTATTCTGGATAGGTAGGAGTTTAACCTGCTACAATATCCAGAACGAAGTTGCGCAAGGGTCACTCGCGTTTCTCGCGGCAACTCGAGCTCTTCGTCTGCTATGGGCGGTGATTTGACTCCAAGTACGCCATTCACCRGGAGGGAGTCGGTGAAGGTGTTGATGGCTCCACTGTGAATGGCGGTCAGTGCCTGTCGGAAGTCTGTAGCGTCCGGGGTCCTGTCGGATGCTCCTAGGAGGCGGTTCCGCTCCCAGCAGATGACTGCAAGGGTGATTTCTACGAAAGCATCCTAGGAGGAAYTGCTTGGAGAGGAGTTCATTATGCTCCTTAACTGGGAGCATAAGCGTCTCACTATGTAGGTGTTCGATGGCAGACATCAAGAAGCATCCTGTCGTTGTCCGGAGTTCAGTGTTCTGACAGGTCTGAAGTTTCCTCATCTGCGTACCACTGCATCCAGGCGGCCACTTTTTTTTGCGGCGTAATTAAGGACCGGTCGGCCGATTGCTTTGTATGTTGCCAACAACGTTTCTTTGTCTTTTCCCCATGTGCTGTCGATAATCGCGGACGTATCGTGAGTGAAGGAGCATAGACTATCCAAAGTTACACCTAAAATCTTATTAACAGTCGGAACTTTGACGCCATCGACTGCAATATTACGCTCAAGTCTATACTCCTTCGTCCAGTTCGTGAATATGGTCGCTGTGGATTTGGTGGGGGAAAGTGTGTGGTTTCGTGCAGTGAGGAAACGAGAAAGGTCGGAGAGGTAGTTGTTTACCTTCGAACACATGCCATCGATTCCATTGCCCGACGTCATTATCGTACGAGGTCAGTCATGGGCGTACGAGGTTATGGAAACCCCCTCTGGTGGTTGCGGGAGTTTCGAGATGTAGAAGTTAAACAGTAGCTGGGAGAGGACAATACCCTGCGGAACCCCCTGTTTAATTCTTTTCAGCTTAGATGTTGCGCCTCGAAATAGTACGGATGATTGGCGACCGATCAGATAGTTCATGGTCCACCTCTTGAGCCCTGGAGGAAGTGTGGTTTTCTCAATGTATTGCAGTAGCGTTGTGTGATTGACTGTCTCACAAGCTTTTGACAAGGTTAACGCTACGAGGACCGTTCTCTCACAGGGTGGTTTCTGGTAAAGGCCACGAATTATCTGGGCGTTTATGACGTTAAGTGCTGTGCACTTTTCGGTATCCATGTTGGTGGCAGGCAAGGCTCAGATGGTGAGTGAAGGTCGAGAGTAGCAGGCCCAAGTGTCTTTACTACTGGGGAAAGGAGTTATCGGACGATAGGACTCCTCTTTGTTAGCGGGTTTCCCAGATGTCAGTAGTGGGACCACTCTTCCGACTTTCCACACATCGGGTATTTGAAGAGTGGTCAGCGACAGGTTGAGGACCTTAGTAACATAGCTTACTCCCATCGAGCTTAGATATTTAAGCATAAGACTGTTGGAGCAACGGATTTGGAAGATTTCGATTTGTTGATGACATTCTGAACCTCATCGGTGAATGTAAGTGGCGCGCAGTCGTTTGGCATTTTGCGCAGCCGTCGGTTAACACATCGCTTGGTTTCGTCTACCGAAGGGTGCAGTGTAAATTTCCAGCTAAAATAGCTCGCGCACTGCTTCGGGTCCGAAGAGGCATGACCATTGATTTGAACTTCATCTCGGTCGTCATGACTCTTCGGGTTGGACAAATCTTTGACAGTAGCCCAAAGCTTACTCATACCGGTGGAGAGGTTGCAGGACTTCAGGTGCTCTATCCATTTCGTCCGCTTATGCTAATTTACCATACGCCGAATCTCCGAATTGAGATCCCTTATTCGGGGATCCCCGAGATCGGCATGGCGTAAGGTGTCGCGCTCAGTAGCTTAAACGGCTGCTTCGGGTAGGGAATTGGGGCGGAGTTTCGCTATTCTTCCAGCCGGGATAAGCGAGCGGTTGGGAGGTTTCTTGATGGAGATGTTTATGGGCAGATAGTGGGGGTTCGTCATTCTTTGTGCATAATGTCGAATCGTCAATCTGTTCCGCCAGCTCCATCCGCCTGCGAGGTGCGTGTAAAAAGAGTATCAGACGGTTTTCTCCACAAAGTAGTGCATATATTTTCGGGTGATATCCTGTAGAGATCATGTAACTGGGGGGAAGGACCTTGGGGGTCCTCTGTTGGCCACTTGGGGTGAGTGTCGCCGCAACTCGCAAACAGTGTACAGATTGCACACCCATAGAGGCTAGTGTCGCAGTATAGCGTTGGCAACATGGGGCCACGTATCTCGTATGTCTTAAGACCTGAGCAACTCTTAAGATGGCTACATCCATTGCATGTATTACACCTGACCGAGGTGGAGTTCGGATGGAGCCTTTTAGCGCAAACGCAGCAGAAAACTTAATCCGAGCCCGGGTTGGACTCAATACCAGCAGTAGTTAGGAGGATACGGAGCAACCCTCCTGCAAGGCATTGCTCTAATGACGACAAACAAAGATTAACACTTACCGATCCAAACGGGGTTAGATCGCCGAAAACAAAGCCCTTAGCCGGATAAAATCCGAGTCAATTCCGGTGCGTAGAATGGCTGTCGTGGGAATTGTCAGAAATGTTTTCTACCGCTACAACAGCAACAGTATATTACTGAATGGTAGCGGTATATGGAGGAAAACTTCAGTACGAGTACATATTTGTACAAGTTGCTGTCCGAATATATGTATAAAGGCTTGCAATGAAAAAAATCTGGCTTCGACTTTATTAAATTTCCTACATAAGATCACTATTTTCGTAAGTCTTAATGACTGTGTTTAACATTAGTGGTATTTACAACGGTTTTCAAAAAATGTACAATCTTAAAATTCCTTTAACGTTGAAAATATCCATGATATAAATATATTGAGAGTAAAGTTAACAAGGCATATTTAAATGAATAAATGTTTTGCATCTTTTGAAACTAATACAGTTGAATAGGAATTGGGGCTTTCATGCTCATTTTAAACGACTTTTTGGAACAGTTTAAAAGGATAACAAAATACGCTTTATTTAAAGTAAAAAATATAAAATAAGAATTTAAGAAATAAATACATATATGGTGCGGAGGAAAAATAAATAGTCTTAAAAAGAGGGATAAAGTTTTAGGAATAACGTTAAAACACTAGGCAGTTCACTGTATTTTGTGCAGAATTCCCTTAGGATTAAAAAGAATGAATGAACTCGCGGTCGACCAAAAAAGATATCAACAACAACGGACAATCGTAGTCTTTATATCTTCAAGAATAATATCAACCGATATTGGTATTATAATATCGTCCCGAATGGTACGACGAAGGCAACATCGAGCTAATTTACCTGGCAGGATAACCAGAAGTATACCATTATTGAAAAAGAAATATTGAAGATAACATTACAATTCATGAAAAATAATGCAAATTGGTCCGGTCTAAATGACGCCGGACGGAAGGTACATTCAATCTACAACAGAGGCGGCAACATAATGGTTTGGGGCTGTTTTTCGTGGTTTGGTGCAGTACCAATGCGTCGTATTTCAAGCACCATGAATATGTTCCAATATAATGATATCTGGAAAACATACATGTTTATAAATGTATTAATGTGGAAATTTCAACAGGATAATGATACTTCGAGGTTGGTAAAAGATTGGTTCCAGGATAATGGTATGAGTTCTCTTAAATGGCCAAGTCAATCTTCCGGCTTAAAACCTCTGGGAGGAGATAATGCAACGAATTGAGAAGCAATAAGGATCAGTTTGGAATGAGATTCCAATTGATACGTGCCGCAAACTTATCTTCAGTATGCCACAACGAATCTCAAAAGGAATTGAAAATAATGGCGAATATACTGGATACTGATGAAAGAAGTAAATAAAAATCAAATAGGAGACAAAAAAACTCAAACTAATAAATTTTATCATTCACCGGTACCTGACGTACTCATTCTTTTCTCCAGCGAGTTTTTTTAGTCTTTTTATTATTTGCTAGAGTTCCTATTTCAACTATTATTACATATATACATTTATTTTTGTCATTAAGTCATATATGAAATGAAATATGATAATATTTCTCTTTAAACATGGATAAAAGAGAATTTATTAGTCATTGAATGCTACAATAGAAATAAAAATGTGTAATAAGAATATATAAAAAATTTAAATAAAATAATATAAACAAAAAATACTTTTAAAAATTTCAAAAAATAAAAGAAAATATATTAAATTAAAATAAAATCAAAAGAATAAAATCAACGCATCATTATTATTCTTTTAATTAGTAGCCCATCGCATACTACTACCAAACATTAAAATAAGCCTTAATAGGTATTTTGCGATTAGGTAAGGTTTTTATTACCTGAATGCCAATGAAAGCTTGCTTTCCAGAAATCTTATCATTGAGTTTATGAATGTGGCTGGTATGGCTATTCCAAACCATTTTAAAAGTACTATAACAAACCGTTTCAAATCCTTCTGTACTATAAATTTCACGATGGCACCTTCCAAAGCAGCTACATAAATTGATAAAAACGTTCTAGATATTAAACATAAAGTATGAACTATTAATAGGCCGCTTTCGTAACATAACACTTTTGGTACAATAATTTTTATAAGCTTTCTTAGTTGCAGAACGAATTCTTTGTTCAGGCCAGGTTCTAGATGTAAAGATTGCTTTTTCAATTGTTTTGCTATAATCAATTTTTCTGCTTCAGCCAATTTAGAATTTTCATCCTCCGTAGAATTAACTATATGATCATTTAGTTTCATATATGAAGTTCTATTATTATTTTTGTATGCGTCTTTAATGTTATTCTTATTCACAAACTGCTTTCCAAATAGAGGATATGTAGTCTTAAAAGTATAGGCACAGATTGCCGCGCAGAGTATCATTCTACTGATTGTGGTTTTCGATAAACCATTTTCGTCGTATTTCTGCATCGCTAGATCAATGTATTTTGAAAAAACAGCCATTTTGTTAATATGATAATTAAAAAAGGTTACATATGCTCATTTTATTTTTGCCGCTGTGTTTCGAAAATTCCTGGAAAAAAAAAATATTATTCTCAACTTGCAAAACCATGGCTTATACAACTAAGCCTAGATAGTAACTAGAGTGAGTGAAGAATCGACATCATTTATTTTTACAAAGATGAGGTGCTAGAACTTCTTTTCAGGGTTTAGGTGGGTTTGAAGTTCCAAAAATCGATTTTTTTTTGTTTGCTTTGTTAAATTCTACAATACCTCTAGAATATAGTCCTAAATTTTAAAGTTGATCTGAGTACTAATTTCGGAGATATAGCCTTGAGAACTTGTGCGCAAAGTGCCCTGTCTTTAAACGCGTTTTTCTCTAAACTGTGTTTTTGAAGTCGGTGGACACGATTCCTCGAAAAGTTATCGACAGATTTAGTTCGTATTGTGTACACGTCTAGTTATTGAACGAAAATTTTTTTCTTGTTTCATTACAACATATTTTTCTGACCAAAAAATTGCGAAAATTTTAGCAAAAATAAGATTTTTTGGTGAAAGTCCGAGAAAAGAAGGACAATTTTAACTTTTTTTTCCTACGTTCAAAAACGAGATTTAGATATGTACTAACAGAATATGTTTAGTTTTTTAATTTTATAAGAACCAATAGTAAGTTATGCTGTCCAGGGCGAGAGCACTTTTTTGAGAAACACCTAGGGAAACGCGGTCTCAACGTCGGAATTTTCAACATTTTTTAATCGAAATTTCGGGAGATATTGTTCGAATATATACCTTTGATAAAAGATATTATATTTTTCAAATATATGACGAAAACTTTTTAAAAAATATGAAACTACAGTAGCCCATTCATACTTCGATGTACCGTACCATCTAAGTTTTCGTATCTTAGTTTGTGGAACGATTCCTTATTATATACTGACAGCGATTTAGAATAACATTCCCCGATTTCGGGGTTAAAATGGGTATGTACGGATAGAGGAAGCCCTCTAGATCAAGAATATCTATATGTATATAGATATAGTTGCCGGTGACTTAGGGTTTTTGAGATATTTGCATTTAAAGTTCAAAAAATCAACTATTTCGTGTTTCTCCCATTTATAATGATTTTTACACGCTAATCTAAATCGCAGCCAATTTTTCTATCACTTTTACTTTATAAGGATTAATATACATACATATATCATCACAACACAAGAAAAAAGTAAACTATGCTACTTTGGACTCGAGGACTCATTCAAATACGTATAAGAGTTAAAATTGTTGTACATACATACATATATATTTAGATCTATGTATGTAAAATGGAGTTAGTGAATCGTAATCAATAGTTCCATTGCTAAATTATTGATGAATCTATGATTATATTCTTTATTTTAAGGGTCGATATGCAAAACGGGATAAATTAGTGAACAAATATGTGACATACAAACAATTTTATATTAACTTCAGAAAAACATTTCTTTTTAACTTTTGCTCACCCAACGTAAATCCTATTAAATCAGTTCACAATAATCTTTATCAAATTTCTTTTAATTTTATTAGCTTATTCATCAATATAATTTGCTTAGAGAAAGATATATAAATTTTCTTTGTGCATATTATTTTTTATGTAGAAAATGAAATTCCAAATTTCTAGTCACTTTAGTTTCTACAGCTGCAAAACAATCGATGAAAGTATCGATAGTATTGATAGTTCCACAGCGATATTCTCATGCCCTCTCAAAAATCATCAGCCACGTTACTGTAATGTTTCTATTATTTGTGAGGTTTTCCCTAGGCTAATGTGATTTCAAAAGCTCGTAATTTCTTCCCAAATTTGTGATGCCTGAAAGCAAACCTCACAGCGCAAAATCGGATTTTTTTTTTCATTAATTTTAAACTAAATTGCAATCTCTTTATTGAAATGCAATGGGGAAACAATTTTTTAAAGGCGTTATCCATATATTGTGAGCGTTAAAACTAAGCAAACACCAATTCTATTAATATTAAAGCATTTATTACAACGTAGCCTTTAATACAATAATTCAAGGCTTATATTATAAGAGTATAATATAAATTACTAATAATAAAAATTATTCACTTAACTAAAAACACTCGTCTTTTCGCGTCAAAATAAGTAAACAGTGGCAACAACCGTTGTATGATTTTAATACTTATTCCACGGTTGCGGCAAATATCCTTTGGAAATACATTTACATAATTAATGTAAATCTTTGCGCGAAATCAGAGAAATAAATGGAAGACACCATTGCACAATAAGGAAAAATTATTGATTAACGTGGTAAACACCAGAGTAGTAATAGTTTGTCACGGCCGGACCGACCAAAGCGCCTTACTGACACTGATGCACGGTCAATAGTACGGAAAGAGAAAACTAGTTCAGTTTCAAACGCTATTGAAATATAAACAGATATAGGAGAGATATCGGGTAAAACCCTATGTGCCAGTACAATCAGGAGAACATTGCACAAAAGCGGTTTGCATGGACGAGTACTACGCAAAACTCAGGAATAACTTGGAATTTGCAAAGAAGTATACAAACCAGGCTGCACACTTCTGGTAAAACATTTAGTGTACAGACAAAAGCGAATTCCTAAAATTTTGCGATCAAAAAGTAAAGCCTTTGATGATAATTGTGTTAATAACACTATAACGCACGATAAGGATCGGTTGTGGTCTGGAGCTTTCTGAGAGCATCTGGTGATGGGAATTTGGTTTTCATTGAGACCACGATTAACAAATTGGATAATTTAAACTTTTTAATTATTAAAGAATTAGGACAATCAGGAAATTAAAACTTTCAACAAGACAACGATCGTAAACACAAGTCCGAAATTGTTACCGAGTGGCTGTTACATCAAACAACAAAACTCTGCATAACCCTCCGCAGTTCTCAGACATTAATGCTGTCGAGTATTTGTGGAAGCACTTTGACCGAAAAATCAGATAGAGAAACATTTCAAGCAGGGATGACCTAAAAAATGTTTTGATTGAAGAATGAAGCAAAAAATTATTTTATCTACTCTTAACAAGTAACATTTAAAACTTACTTTAATAAAATTCTTAATTTTGGCTGCTGAAATTTTTGTTCCTGCTGCTGAGCAGCTTAAGATCGCAACGCTTTACACTTTATTTCGGTTGGGCGGGATTAGGGTAATCGTTGGGTATTATTATTATAATGTAGGAAATTTGTCTTGGAATTCAACGAGTAATTTTAATAAATAAAAAATTTTCCGTGAAACTCTTACTTAATTGAGCTCAGACTCAAAAGAATCTCAGCCAACTTAGTTGCTAAAAGTTTCAAAGATGATTTCTGACGAGAAGAGTCCATGTACACCTGCAGAAGCTACACGCTCGAAGCAAGGGGGGAGAGACATAACATGTCACTGAGAGTGGCAGTCTAATACGTTGGTGCACTCGGTTCTCGTCTTAGCCTATTCAGGACAACTTTAAATCGGCATTGAAAATCGAAAGAGAAGATCTTGAAAACTTAAATAGTAGAATCTGATGACTCAGATCTAGGAATTAGATTTAAATCAGTCTGAAGATACTAAGACAATGATATTTGACCATTTAAAATTAATTAAAGCAATTAAAGTACGTGCGTACTACACATCCGAGAGTAGAACTGAAACAAATTCAAAGTCAAGAGGCACGTTCGGGTATCCACCACAAGGTGCCATCTTTCCGGAACACAGCCATTTACATAAACTATCCAAAATTATCAAATGCACAAAAGTTGTGTTATCTCCGATCAAAACAGAAAGTCAAGCAGGCGTCATCGCAAAGCAGTTCCTGTTAAATGAAGAAAATTTCCATTTCGCTTGGGAAGATTTGAAATCCAGATACGAAAACAAAGGAATACTGTTAGATAAGCAAATAACGATTTTAATGAACTTGCCAAAAACTCAAAATGTGAAGAATTTATCAATCCACTGCTTCCAACTGTTTGCCGATTTTATCGACACAAAACCTTTCCACAACAACAGAGACCCAATTCTGGTAAACATATGCACTGCAGCAATACCAGAAAAGAATCTCCCTCATAAAAAAAAACCATGCCCCACGTGACAACAAATGAAAGAAAGAAGCTTCCAAAGACCCCAAGCCAGTAGCATCAACAATTTAATTAGAAGCTTCTTCAAATATATTAAACATAAACTTAAGTCTTGCGAGAAATTTAAAAAATTAAATATCATTGACCGAAACAATTTTGTAAAGTAGAAAAGTCTTTCTGCAATCCAACAGTTTTTAAGTATGGAAAAAACTGACTTAAAAAAGGCGAGCTGAAACCAGAATATGATAGGGTCGTAGAATAATACGTCCATTTAGCCCATATGAAGGAAGTCAGAACGGGCGAAAAAATCATACAAAGTAAACACTACCAGTTTTATTTGCCACATCATGCAATAGTAAAGCCAGACAATAAAACTACAAGCGAATCAGTGAAACTAATCGATAGTATGACGCACTACAATATCCGCTTATGTTCAGCCGTAGTGAAGATCGATCTGAAAGATATGTACTATTTACTTGCGAGATGCGGTCAATAGCAATGAAGATGTGACAAACCTTGGTCGGCTCACGATTTTGCTATCAACTCACATTGCCACCGCAAAGCATAGGCACGGGTACTCGCAGGATGCGATGAAATACGTGCGGAATTATATTACATTCACTTGCAATCCAAAATGGCTACGAATAACGGAATTATTGAATCGTGGTCAATCAGCAAGTGATCGTCACGATATCAAAGCACTAGTTTTCAAACAACAGCTACTATGTTTGATATACTTTAATTTCGTTTCGAAACCAGCATTAACACCAACAAGAATGTCAGCCTCGAAATCCAACTCAGAATAACTATTGCCAACAGGTGGTACTTCGTATTGAGTAGGCAATTGAGAAGTGAAGTCCTCTCTTGACGAACAAAAATGACCAGTTGACCAGGGCGATCGCATTCGGTGGAACGATGAGCTGTATGAGATATACGACGACATTGACATAGTTCAGCGAATGAAGAGACAACGGCTGCGCTGGCTAGGTGATGTCGTCTGTATGGACGAAACTAATCCAGTTCTGAAAATATTTGACGCAATACCCGCCGGGAGAAGCATCGGAAGAGGAAGACCTCCACTCCTTTGGAAAGACCTGTTGGAGAAGGACCTGGCTTCGCTTGGCATTTCCATATGGTGCCTCGTTGCGAAAAGAAGAAACGACTGGAGCGCTGTTGTTAACTGGGCTATAATCACGTAAGCGGTGTCTACGCCAGTAAAGAAGATGAAGAAGCTTTAATGACAAGTTTTTAACTTTTAAACCACATTTATTAGTTAGCCACACGAGGTTTTTTCACTCTCTTTAAGGATGTGTTAGAGCAAATTTGTTATTCGAATGACAGTAGGGATAGTTTTACGGCATTTATTTTGGGGAATGGATAGTTCATGTTGTTGCTGTTGTAGTGGCAGAAAACATTCCTGAAGTAATTTCGAGGAATAATGACGAGTTTTGGGAAGATAATAATCCGGGTCCGTTCTGGTTATTTATACCCAACTTTCGTGAGAAGCTGGATATTTCATGTTTTTACGTAAATGCTTAATTTAAAGGTTTTTTATTGACATTTTTTTGCCTGTGCTAAGCTCGAATTTAAAAAATTCCGATTAAGAAAGAAAAACGTCCTTTCGCGGTTATAGTCATTAATACAATAGAATCCTTTATTACAGTAGTCCATTAGTTAGCCTAAATTTTAACCTAAAGGCTTATACTAGTGGTAAATATGTATACAAAAAAGGGGGTAAGTATGTAGTTCTAATTCAATTCAGCAATCACATAATTCATGGTAATAGAGGATTTTAATACATAGGTAGTAGATGATGGTTATGGTTATATACTATAAAAGTTGTAACTATTTTACATAATGTAAAACATTTTATAATGTATTCAAATATTATTCAATTATTTCAACAAATTTATTTCTTAAAAAATAGTTTTGGGTTTATAAAGTCGCTTGGCGCAACACCGTGTAATGGGGTTTCGTCCATAGCTGAGGTATGCTCAGCCGCTCCAGGGTCAGCCTTGGGA